TCTGTGATTCTATGATTCTAAATAATATTATTTGCCACACCAGACCAAAGCCAGCACACTGTCTCTGTAGCTATGTCCGAGCTACTAGCTGAAGCAAGATCCCAAGAGACAATTAATGTCCATCAAACTTTTGACCTACGTGTTTTCTGGTTACTCTCTGCTGTAATCTGACAGCATATCAGCATAAGGGCATCTACAATATAACTCAGGGGAACACAATTCTTGATCAGAAGAGAGGGTGACTACACTCTCAGCTCTGAGCATGCCTCACACTGGCAAATGAGTGGAAGGAAAGCTTGGGCTCACACTAAAGCATTTTTTCAGGGATTGAACCTTCCCTCTGAAACGCTCTAGAGCTCATTGCTCCAGGGACTCACGCTTCGTGGCCAATGAAGGCATAATCAATACAGCTTTAATCTCAGGAGATAATGGTGCGTGTCTTGTAATGGACGTTTTAGGAACCTCACATGCTGATTTCCTGGCTGCCAATACTGTAATGGGGAAAATCACAGCAGAGAGAAAGAATCTAATTGTGCAACTGGGGAGAAAAGTGGCATTTCTTTCTTTTTTCACTCTGTGTTGCTAATTCAGCCTTTTTACTCATTGTGCATCTACTAGTTAGCAGAATTTAAAACTTGACTCGTTACAGCTGTAAAAAGTGCTGACCTTGTTAATGTATGTGACACGTAAAATAGCTGCAAGGTGAGATCTGGCCAAACAGAAAATAACTCTTTAAGGAGAAGGTGTGCATGTGCTGGAGAGAGGCTGTGGTGGACACCACACAGGACAAATCCAAATGGTGGGGAACCCCAAGAACCTGTATTTTTACAAACTTCAAGAAAGATATTTATGGGAAAATATTTATTTGTAAATAAGATCTCATTCACCATGGGTGAGGATCACAAAAGCATTTCCAGAAGTGGCAAAGCTTGGAAACGGCCAGTGCAACCACCAGTTGAAGAGAGAGCATGAGTCAATGTTTCCTGCAGTCAGTTTGTAAATCTAAGCAGGCCATCCTGTCCCCTAATAGGCGCAGAGGAAACTGCACTGTTTGGCGTGTCGGCTAAGGCGCTCGCTTCTAATAGGTCCCTTAGCAGGTACCTTTCCTGCCCTCCCACGTGTGGTAGGAGAAACTTGGTTTTAAATGATGTGTAGAAGGCACAATTTGGTTATATATGTGTACGCAGACCTACACACACATACACATATATGCACATACACATATCTGTATGTATGTATGTACTCACACGCTGATGCACATATATACATACACGTATGTATGTATGAAATGAATCCCCAACTTGGGCAGAGCTCCCTCCCCCACCCAAACCCTAATGGGCAAAGGGACCTGTGCTGACCTCCTCCTGCGCCATCCTAACCCTGCAAAGATTGCTGTGCAAGACAGCAATGGGGATGGGTCGGACAAATCCAACCACTGTGTGCTTAGAGGTAACAATCTCTTTCCATCACTTACCGATTACCTGAATTTCCCACATAATGGCTCAGCACAGTCTATCCCATAGGCCTTTTTGAATGCAAAGATAGGATAAGGCACATTTTGAAATAAAAGCAGTATACTTGTTTGAAGACTTTGGGTGTAGATTTGTTTAATTTTATGAACTTCTTGTAGATTTGAAGCTATTAGCCTCACTGTCTTCTTACCTCATACACCTGCCAGCTGAGTGCCTTATTTTAGGTAGAATTGTTGCTGACACCTGAAGAAATTTTACTTGCACCAAGAAGTGGGATGGCTACATCCCACATAGGGGTCACTTTTCCCCTGTTTGTTAGCAGACAGGTAGGGTTTTGTAAGGTAACGCATTTCCATGCTGGAACAAAGAAAGGGGAGTCATCACAGGAACTGAAGAAGCTCTGACTTCAGGGCCAGGCCACGGGACAGGTGTCTAGTTATTTGGGAATAACTAGATCCAAAGGACAAATCATACCCAAAGAGTGAAATTAAGGAGTGTAGTCCTGTAGCCCTGACAGGAACCCCAGTTCTGAGGAATGGATGTTGACACCTGGATCCTGCATTTGTGGCTTCACCCAGGTGTTTGCCTCTCCAGTGCTGTCAGAAGATGTGTGGTCAAACCAGAAACTCCTTTGTGAACCCTATGTCTATTTACTCTGTGAGACACAAATACAGGAGGACCAGGGCACCAACAGCCCAGGATAAAGTATGCCTGTGGGCTACCAATTTGCTGTGGGGATCTCAGAAGTCCCCCTTTCAGAAAGGGTGGTGGAGGGCAGGAATGTCCGCCCCCATGGGGAGGGCTCCAATGTCATTGGCACAGTTAACCTAACTGTGTGACCTGTGTGACCTTATTGGTCTCCAGAAAGCCCAGGCTACAGTTCATCTGTCAAGGCAGAGGTTTATCTGTCAAGGCAGAGGCAGAGGTTTATCTGTCAAGGCAGGTTCATCTGTCAAGGCAGAGGTTTATGTACTGCAACATGGCCAAAATACGTGCAGCTAATACCAGGCTGTCCAAACAATTACCCTATCGGTGAGCAGGTCTCTCCGTCAAAGGACCAAGGTCTCCCTATCCATGGATGACTAGGGACTAGCCATGGATGACTAGGGACTAAGGCACTTCAGTCTTGTAGGCTCCTTCTTACTGTGGCTGAATTTAAAGCTCTTAGCTACTACTTCTTCACTTATAAACCCTATCATTGCATATTTAGATACATATGTAGATACGTTTTAGTGGTGGAATTGCTGACATGTGTGCTAATACTGCTAAAGATACAATATGTAAGATTTGGCAACCTAGCAACTAAATTTAGGCAATATTAAGGGTGAAAAATTGTTTCCCCAGTCCTCGTTTTACACGTTAATCATCAAACTCAATATTCATACCACTTCTCTACACATTTTTTCCCGCAACATTTTTAATGCTGTAATTTCAATGGCTAAAACACAAATGCAATTTCCAGTCAGGCCAAAGTGTCAGCTTGCATCCAGCATGTGAGGCCAAACCCAGGAACCAGGAGGGTGCTCATCAGGGACAGTCCTGGAAGGGGCAAGCCCTGTCCTCGTCTGTATTTCATCAGCAGTTGTGCCAGGTGTACCCAGCTTGCTTTCACAGATTCTTTGCTCGTGGGGTTTGTGGGTGACATTCAACCGCTCTGTGTATCTTTTAGCATAACTGGTTTTTGGTTTTTTTTTTAAGATACGAGCAAAAAAAACCCTAAATATGACTCCAGATCTCCTGCATGTGTTACAGATCGGAATAAAAATGAAACCCAGTTGCTTAGGCTCAGCTGAGTTAGGATCAGAATTAGCCCAGGATTAGCAACTTTGTATCTCCAAATACACAAATGCAAATTCTGCTCTAACTGACAAATTGGAAAAAAACCCCAAACTTAATTTTTATTTACAGGGCTTAGACTTTTACGTGGGAGTTCTGCCTACTTACACTTGTACACAAATGACTAAACATTGAGGGGCAGAAAAGAATTTTATGCTTGTAAATTATACTGATTTGAGAAAGAAAAAAGTGCAAATGGAGATGATCTATGAGAACAGAACTTTCCAGACAGACCCAGAGAAATGAGGCGGAGGTCCTCCTGAAAAAAACATTACTATTTGTTCACTGGAGTGTTTGTGATGTTTGTTTTAGACTGAGAAATTGCTTGAAAATAAAAGGGCACTGCTCAGATGCAAAACCCCTGGTGTGACTGTGACTCAGTGAAATTGGTTGAACCGGGGTGGGGGAAGGAAATGAGCCCATGCAAGCGATGCAATTTCCACGCCGTGGAGATAACACAGGTCTTCCAGTGGAAAGCGCGGCTCCCCGGACATGTGGTTTCAATATCCGCAGGCTACGTGTTGACCACTGCTGCGCAGCAGGCGCTTGGCTCCCCGTTTCTTGCACACCGTCAGGGCTGGGCAGATAAGAGGGGTGGTTTTGCACAGTGTCTGGGAAGTCACGCCGCAAAGTTGCCTGCCTACAACTTGCTCGGGAGCGGGGCAGATCCACGCGTGCTCATGTCTCCGCGGGTTTTCTTTGCAAATCCCTGCAGGCAGAGTTTGCTCAACTTGTTGAACTGGCTCTTTCTGTCTTGTTTTTTTGGCAAACTAAGAATTTCCTTCCTGATAAAAACGGATGGCGGGCGCCCCGATTGGGCGCTGCGTTGGAAAGGATGTGACATCAGGCACATCTCTCGCTTCGCCGGATCGTTGGCTGCCTCCCAGGGCAGCCAGGGAGCTGTTTCGTTAAATCCCAACCCAGGTACTCGAGTTTCTGCACAAAGTGCTGCCGGCACCACGTCCCGCTCTGCTCCAAGGTCTGCTCGACTCATGCGCGCAGAGTCTGCTTAACAGATCACTCCCACTGCCAGGGGCTCGCCGGGGACGATGGAATTTGAACTCTCAAGACTGACCGTGAAGTGAAAAAGCAGAAATTGGACAGACAGGGCTGAGATGGATGATGAGGGAGCAAATCAAAACGCCAGCAAATCACAAGGAGCCGGAGGCCAGGCGTCTGCAACGTCTCTATCAAACCCACTGATGAGGGGTAAGTAAGGCTCCTGCCTCAGCACGAGCCTCTGCCTCTTCCAGCGGTGGCAAAGGGCAGGGTCAGGCTACAGTGTGTGCTGCTCCCGAGGTCCTGCTGCCAGGGCAGGTCTGCAGCCAGTCACACGCAACGTCCCCCTGCCCTTGCACTCCAGAAGGGATTTTAATAAGCTGTCCCTATTTGAAACCGAATTTTTGGTTGTTTTATTTGATGAATCACAGCAAAGAGTGTCTGATTCTGTACCACAGTTTGTACAAGCAGAAATAAATGCAGTGCTTGAACCATAGCACGCTGAAAAAGAAGTTGCAATGTGGCGTGTTTAACTTAGATTAGTGCCAGCTGGAAGCTCAGCACTGGCTCAGTTCCTCTTTTCTTTTTCTTTTCATTTCCTTCCTCCTTCCTTTCCTCTTTTCCTTTCTCCTTTCTTTTTCTTCTTTCATTTATCTTTCTTTTTATTTTTCTCTTTTTTTCCTTTATTCTTTAACCTTTTTCCTTTTCCTTTTTCTCTCAGATATTGGGACCCAAGTGTTCTTGCCCAGGCTGAGCCACCAGCCCCGGTGGATTCCCAGGTCATTGTGGTCAGTTGTGGCCAATGCTGTTGTGGTCACTGGTGAACAGTTATTTAGACAAATGGCCTCACTCTGATCATTGCCCTGTTGTCTGGACCAGAGCCATTGAAAATATGACATGGTGACAAAAGACAAGTAATTTAATTTCACATTAAAGTTTAGCTGGACATGTTCCCTGCAGCTCTGTTTTCTGGAAAGCTCATGGCAAGTGCAGAGGGAATGAGGTAAATTAAGATTATTTGACTTTACACTGTTCTCACTCCTTTCCTGGGCTGTTCAGGATGCTTCTATTCATACCAAATAGAAAATTAAGACCCTAAAACCACAATGCAAAGATAATCGTGTGTCTGCTGTGTTTTGTGCCTCGTGTGTCACGTATGTATGTCCTGAGCCTGGGGTGAGAGGGAAGGGACAGCGATGTTATTAACAGCATGAATCGAACCAGGTCCACACTGGAGATGAGCTCCAGAAAAATGAATGCTGGAAAGAAGGGAGGCCACAGATTGCACTGCTGCACACAGATCTTTTGAAAATCAGGGTTCAGTCAATTCCTCTCGTGTCTGCCTGTTCCTCAGCAAAGTCAATAAGCTCTGCTGGTGACTTACAGAAGGAATGTATTTGGCTCAGGCCACATATATCACAAGCTTTAGGGGAAAGCCTTAGGATATGAAAAATATACAAATATGTATGCAAGAGGATACCTCTGCTTAAAAGATTTCAAAGCCCCTTGTGAATTGCACCGTGTGTGACCACCGCAGAAGGAAAGAATCCTGGGGACAGGCGCAGAGTGTGCAACACCCTAAACACGGTCAGAGGCTGGAAAAAGGTACTTTCAGCCATCACCACAAAATGAGTGCTCTTCTAGAAAGATCCTGTGAATGCTTTGTTGTCCACAGGGAGCAGTCAGGGTTTGTATGTTTGTGTGGTTGTTGCTATAAGGCTCCCTTTGTATATACCACCCTGCCAGCCTTCACGTGCCCGTGTGAAGGCAGTGCAATCAAGTATGTCCCCCCATGGCAGGGGGATTGGAACTAGATGACCTTTAAGGTCCCTAGGTTTCACGTAACCTCTGGGCTGGCTGGGATTTTCAGCAGTGAAAGGGGAGGTAGGTGACCCGATGCCACTGAAAACCTGTGGGTTTTGGATGTCTCGAGGCTGAAGCTATTGAGGCCTGACTCAGCTTGCCTGTGGGCTAAGGTGTGGGTAAATTTGAAATTTGGATAAATGGTCTTGTTCCTCTGTGAAAGATCAGTTGTGGGTATTTTTGGCCATCAAAAATCCTTTTTCCTGTAGTGGTATGTACAGTGAACACAGTTGTGCCACCCACATACAGCAGCCTTGCTCCTTCACAGGCAGCTCTGGTGGGCAAAGTGTTTTGAGGACTTTCCCAAAAGTCACGATTTCAGGATTTTAGTCCATGGCCAGTTAGCTCTGGCATTTGATTAGACTTTAGTCTAAAGCCTGTGTATGGTAAAAATACTGATAATTTATATTACTGATGGTGCACCCTCTGTGCTGAGCAGAAGGGGAGGGAGTGGTGAGACCCCACCAACCACTGCATCCTCCCTCCTTCTCCAGGCAAGAAACATGAGCTTGAGCCTGGAGGACGCACAAAATAATAGAGGCTTTGTGGTTTGCGGGAGAGTGATGCCTGGGTGCAGGAACTGGGGAAATTTGCTTTCCCCTGCAGGGAGAATGCCTCCCCAGTGTTGTTTCAGGGTGGAGATGTTTGCTGCAGATGGAGGTAGGGCAGGAGAGACAGCAGCTTGGGGCCATGCTGTTCATGGCAGCAGATTTGGAAGTATGCCACAGCAATTAGTCATCACATAGGCCTTTAAACCCCCTCTTCCCAACGTATCCAGGGCTGGTGTGAAGCTACTGCAGGCCTCCACTTCCATTTAGGATAAAAGCCTCGATTCCTCTCAGTACAGAATTCCCACCTGAATTACAACACGTTCATGCATAACTCTATTTTCCATTGACATTTATTTTTGATGCTTATGTGGTCAGTCTTTTAATTTGTTGCAAGACTTGTCAAAATTGTAAGCTAATGGACAGTCCATAGATAACTATGGTCTGGTCTGGCTCTTTTTTTAGAGTATCAGTAGGAAACCTGCCCTTTCACAAGCATGAACTGAATGGATAAATTCTGCACGTGGATGTGATGGCATGACCGTGCAACTCCCTCTTTGTCACCAAAAAGCTGATATGATGATATAACAACTTAGTCATTTGAATAAAACCCCACCTGTATTTGTGTGGCTAAAAAAAGATCAAGCTGCAACTCAGAAAACTTGTTGCTCAGTCTAGATTTTTAGAGGTACTATAAACATGCTTCCCTTGCAGCTCATGCAGATTGAGCAATGACATTGTTTTCTAAATGGGAAAATCAAAAGCTTTTTACAGAGCCTGGATACACAACCAATGGCAAGACAGGTGTGATCAGCAAAAACAACAGCATGGTCAGATAAGCATAATTTGACACACATCCACACATCACTTAAAGCAAACCTACTTTAGCCTGCACATCCACGTGCAGAATTTATCCATTCAGTGCATGCTTGAGAAAAGGCAGTTTTCCTAATGAAACTCTAAATAATACCGTACTTTAATAACTGTATCATAGTTCGGCTATCCTTATGAGACCAGAACCACAGCTTCTGGAAATGGCTGTCCATTTGCCAGAGGATGTTTGTGAACTTTCTGGAACTTGCGTTTATTGTGGGACAAGGCCTATGAAACATAGAAGGAGGTGGGCAGAGCTCAAACGATGTCAATAATAAAGAATACAATTTTTTTAAAACCAAATTGACGTACATTAACCAGATTTCCCGAGTTCACTCCTCTTTTCGTTTCAGGCACTCGGTACAGCCCATAAAGCTGTACTGGGGTTACATCTACTCCATCCTTTGTCCATCTTATTCTGAGGTTTCTCCCAAATATGAATCACATGTGAGTTGATGCATCTTTCTGTGTCTGTGAAGTCTGAGTTGCTTCTCAGTTTCTCATTTATTTCCCACTGACTTTTATAGTGTAAGTAATACAAGACTTGTCCAATCATTCCTAATGAGACCCCTGTTCCTAAGGACCTTGTTCGGCCCATATCTCACCCCCTTCAGGCTTAAAACCCACCTGGATGTTATTTCCAGCATGAGTCAGGAACATGTGAGAGCACTGTTAGGGAAAAAAAAAAGAGAAGGTGAAGTCTTTATTATGCCGCTAGACTTTCTAAAATTGCTATATTCAAATAAGAACTATCAGTTACAGGGACCACTTCGGTTTCCTCTTGTGATGTGTGTGTGACTACTACCAATTTGACTAGCTTCTTGTTACAGAGACCCACGTTTTTGGTATCCAAGAAGGGAAATGCTAAAATTCACTCTACTTTAGTCCATTAATGAGCTATTGTTCAGAGACAGTAATATGCAATATGTACATATTTGCAAAACTGTGCTATGCAGACAAGCATTGTGATGGACGTGAAATGGCTCAAAAATGGTGTATTGTAGTAGTAGCAGAAATATCCTTTTGCCTATATGAACAACTCTAGACAAATGTATTGCACAGTTGAGTCTCACAAGAAGAACTATGAATCTATATCAGACCTTTTGTGGCCACTGTGCCAGGAAAAAGTTACACCTTACTTAACATAGTTATGCAGGCAGAGGAGGACTTCTTACTGTTAAACATCCTATTCTGTGCATGTGATCTGGTATAGTCCCTGTAAAACCTCACCCACTCGTCCAATTGGTCATTGGGGTTTTTTCTGTAGCTAGTAGAAGGAGAGTGGGACATCTTCAGAGAGCATCAAAATGTGTTTCTAAAGGAATCTGGGTGAAATGCCCTCGGGGATGTTTCCTTTTCTTCCCAGGGGAAACCTGGACCATTGAGGTAGACCAGACACTGGGTTTTGAAATGACGAAGACTGAAGGAGGTTAATGTCTCCCAGGGGCTGGCTCTGAGCAATAAAATCTGTAATATTGAAGATCCCTGTTAATTAATATTTTTATGGTCCTCAGCACCAAGCTACTTTGTTTCACTATATTAAAATAAACAGCAGCCCTTTGTTACGCAGTGTAATTGAGGAAAGATACGCATTTCTCATAAAATGCATCAAATAATGCTTGTGCGGCAAAAACATAATTCGGAAAAGCACTCTACATGACTTGACAGGTTTGGTACCAAGTCTAACCCTAAAGGTTCCCTCCCATACCTCCTTGATCCAGCTGGAGCTATGCTGACTGATTTCCAGTAATTATTTTTAGCATGTGGTATTTTTTTAGCACCTGGCAAGGTGACCTGAAGTCAATCTTTCACATAAGACCTTATAAGAGCAAATATGAATACATTTGCTTTATACTGACACTGAAAGTATCAGCGCATTTATCACAGTAGTAAGAACAGTTTCTCTGTGACCCACTTCAACACTCACAGGCTGGGCCAGTGTCCTCACTGCCATGCAGTGTGCACCCCATCCTGTCCCCTTCTCTGTCCCTGCAAGCTGAGGCAGACCCTTCCTTTGAGCTTCCCTCCATATGTGCTGCACCTCACTTTGTAGTTTCAACAACCAATTACTTAAAGTACTTGAAAAGTCTGTTATAGATTTATAGTTCAATTACTTAAAATGCACGGCTTCACAGGCTAACACCAGACACTGAAAACTGAGAGGCAAAATGAAGGGGTAACACCACTTATCTCCTTGTACTTTGATACCTTCTCTTGTTAGGTATTTTTGACCCTAGCCCAACTCTGAGCAGGGGTAAATGACTGAGCAGCCGTACCCTCTTCAAAACGTAGTAGTCCTTATGAGCTAATTGGTAAAGTGTAATGAACTGGTGAAAGCAAAAGCACTGGAAATAATTCAAAGTGAGGGACGAGCTCAGTCAGAGCAAGGTGGTATTCTGCAAATCCTTCTCTCATCTTTCAAAGGGGAGGTCAGGTGCTCAGTGCCAACATGGGATGAGTTAAAAACACACCTAGAGAGAAGCCGTCCTCTTGTCTCCCGCCCTCCTGGCAGCTGCTCCAAGGAAAGCTTGGCAGCTCATGTAATAAATTACAGAGTTTTACTGGGGTCACACAGCTGAGGTAGAAAACACCGATGAAACAGTCCACAGAGCTGTTAGCCTTTTCCCTGTCTTTCTCTTTGTACAGACTTTGTTTCGGACTGGTCCCCTTTACATGATGCCTCTATCCACGGGCGCCTGCTTACCCTGAAGAAACTCATCAAACAGGTACCCTTCTGCTGGGTTCTTATGATCTCTGCTGGCTTTGTTCGGTTGCTGAATGCAGCCTCTGCGTTACAGTGAAACCTCCAGGATGAGCAGATCACGTTGACCAGAACACAGCGAAATCTGCCTCTGACAGGTTTTTTTCCTACAAGCAGTTCCCTGCATAGCGCAAGCTCTATGTACTAAACCGATGCTGTATTGAAATATCCTGGGTCATACTTTAATTCTGGTGCAGGCAATGGGATGTCAGCCTCTGGGATCTCTGGGTGGCTGAGGGATTTCTTCTGCAGTTCCTACACCTGAGAGCAGCGTTTGGTGCCCTGGGTGAGGGGCATCTCCAGACCCATGCAAAGCTCCAGCTGAGGCTTCAATTCAGCCACACACACATCTATTTCTGAAGTGCCTGAGAGTATCCAGGGCTCATGCCCCTATTGCAGAAGAACATGGCCAGGGAGAATTGATTTCTGAACCTCGTTGCTCTGTTTCTTCAAAATTCTTGGATTTAGTCTGTAAAGGAATTGACAAAAGTGAAGAGTTGTTGGAAAGTTGGAGAGTCTTCCAGCTTAACTTTCTGGAGCACCAAGATTGCTAGAAACAAAAGATCCTGTAGAATCAAAAAAATGGTTGCCAGTGCAGGGGCTGGCTTTCTTTTAGAACATGACATGCTCTGACTGGAGCCCAGAAAATGCCTCAAAAATACTTCAGGATTCGATCCAGTCAAACAACCGCAGGCTCTCAGCAGGCAGGATGTCAGAATGTTTGAGTGGTGATGTAAAAAGGCAGGAGCCACTGCCCTGCCAAGAACAATAGCAGCAATTTCTAATATCTATTTATTTCAGAGTTTGTTATTCATGGTGTGGTGGAAGTAAAATTATGTTGGGTTCCTAAAAGGATGTCTGTATTGTCCCATCGGACAATGCATTGCCTACAGCTTTCGGCACCAATTAGCAGTGGGTAGCAGGCATGACCTCTGGTACGCTGTGCCAGTATCCTCTCCAGTCAAAGCCTCACAGCCCCGTCTCTGATTGCCTGTTGAGATGAGCAGCTCCAGGCTGCTGAGGAAGGTGTGGTTACATAAAGCTTTAAAGGTCATTATAGAATGGGTTGGGGTTTTTTTTGGTTGTATGGGGGTTTTGGTAGTTGTCTGTAGTGATTTTTTCTATTAATTCATCAGGGGAGTGATGTGAATCTGGTTACAGCAGACCAGGTGTCTCCTCTCCATGAAGCCTGCCTAGGGGGTCATGCTGCTTGTGCCAGTGTCCTATTAAAACACGGTGCTCAGGTGAGTGATGATGCACAGACCATTGTTTCCAGTGTCAGTATGCCATACTATTGCTTTTTAATGCTAGGTGAGGTACTGCTTTATGACAGTGTATCACTGTGATTTACACTCTGCACTTAGCTCAGCTTGAAGTTACACATGTTATAAAATGCGTTTCTTGATAAAGCAATCCAAAAAGCACAACTATAAGCGACATTTGCTGTTGTTCTTTAGATGAAAGTGCAGTGTTCTCATCATTTACTGAAAGAATAAGGGGAAGTTCCACTTGCAAAGGATTTATGTCTGCAACAATTAAGGGTGTGTTTTATTTTCTTTACACACTAATCCCATTGGTGTCAGTATGCAGAGTCTTAAGTAGAGATGTAGGACTGTTAGAATCATAGAATCATAGAATGGTTAGGGTTGGAAGGGACCTTAAAGATCAGCTAGTTCCAACCCCCCTGCCATGGGCAGGGACACCTTGCACTAGACCAGGTTGCTCAAAGCCACATCCAGCCTGGCCTTGAAGACATCCAGGGATGGGGCATCCACAGCTTCTCTGGGCAACCTGTTCCAGTGCCTCACCACCCGCTCTGTGAAGAATTTCTTCCTGATATCTAATCTAAACCTCCCTGATTTCAATTTATACCCATTACCCCTTGTCCTATCACTACAGGCTCCTGTAAAAAGTCCTCTCCCAGGACCCTTGTAGGCCCCCTTCAGATACTGGAAAGCTGCAATGAGGTCTCCTCGGAGCCTCCTCTTCTCCAGGCAAGTTAGGATCAATTGATGATAAAAGGGGAAGAAAATGGAACAGCATGCAAATATGATGGTGAAATGGGTGTGTCTTGTGGCTTCTACTTTTTGAACTAATGTCAAAATAATAGTAAATAACGGAAATAACTGTTTGATTATATGTACATTACCTTTCAGTTTAAAAAGTTTTTTAAAAGGGGAGGCAGTACAGTTCCGTTTAAAAATGGGCCATTTCAGGACAGGGCAATGGGCTGGTGTGTCCAGGTAAGATAACTGAGAAACAGGCACACATTTAGCTTGGTAACTTGTTAACACCTGAGAAACCACAGAGTGGCACTGCTTAGGCATTCATTTGCAGGAAGGGAGACTTAGGGGGGGTGATTTTTAAAAATATCTTTTAATCATCTTCTTAATAAAACCTTGCAGTCCTCAGAAGCAGTAGGCAGGTTTTTTTTGCAAGGAATTAGATATAAAGTACCAAGAACCCTATTTTCTATTGAGAAACTAGATAATTTTAATCTATTTTGAAATACTCAGAAGTCATACAAAACTCTTGATTGTTGTTATTTTCCCCGCAGGTGAATGGAGTTACTGTCGACTGGCACACCCCATTGTTCAGTGCATGTGTCAGCGGCAGTGTGGCTTGCTTGAATTTATTGCTGCAGCACGGAGCCAGCCTACACCCACCCTGTGACTTGGCATCTCCCATCCATGAAGCTGCTAAGAGAGGTAACCCCACGGGTGCCAGCACTCTTTTCCATGTTACTAGCAGCGTGTTGATAAAGAAGATAACTTTCTTGATTTCGGTCATGTGAAATACCTTCCTAGTCGGTCTCATCACGAGTGGTGCAGCTCCTCCCACCCCAGTGTTCACCAAGGGCAGCTCTGCTGGGGTCTCGGGGCCTCTGAGTTCGTGTGGTGATACCTGGAAGGGGTTGCATTGTCCTAGTCGGTTGTCTGTAACGCAAACCCCTGAGGGAGTCGTCTGGCTATCTTCAAAAACTGTGGAGAGAAATACAGCATGATTCGTTCATCTTTGGTCGACATCTGAAATGAGTCAGATAAAATGCAAGGGCTTGTGCCTGTTTTTCTAACTGTGGCTTTGCAGCTCCTGTTTTCCAGGTTGGAAACACTGGAGTGGATGAAAGTATCTACCACCTCTTGACAAAACATTGAATATCTGACAAATTGCACCGCTGCAATAGAGAATCTGCTGTAAAAATGCCTGACCTCTGTGAGTTGACTCTTCCTTTATCCCTTTTAAGGTCATGTGCAATGTGTTGAATTCCTCGCGTCACATGGGGTAAATATAGATCACAACATCAAGCATCTGGGTACTCCACTTTACGTAGCTTGTGAGAACCAGCAAGTGAACTGTGCCAAGAAGCTACTTGAGTCAGGTAAAAAGAAAAATAAAGGATAGTATACTTTTGTTTTCCTGCAGCATCTGCCTTTGGATTCTCTTTACATCAGAGATGAGGTGTTCCTGCTCTGGGACCTGGAGATGTTTCACTCTTAATGGCAGACCTGGGTTATTCGGGTAGCAGGGTTACCAGGGTGGTCTTGACCCCGGAACTCAGCTTTACAGCTCCTAACAGAATGATGGGTGATCCTGGAGTTCACATGGCCAGGGGATCCTTGCCAGTGTTGGTGTGTGTGATACTGAAATTATTTAAAGAAGGCAGGGAAAAAAAAAATCCATTCTTTCTTCCCTCTTTACAACAACAATTGGCCCATTTTTACGTAGTATTTCTGCAAATATGTTTTAATCCCCACTGAGTTCATAAAAAGTTGGAAACATTTGCAACACAGAAAAATGTTTACAGTACAGTACAGTACAGCACTGTACTTTTAGAATTAACCAAACCTAGCTGTATGTCTAAACACTTAGATAATCACACAAGACCATTTTTTATCTACAGCAGTGAATCTCTCCTAACCAAAGAAGCTATATAATCTAAAGTAGCCAAAAAGCTAGTACAAAAATGATGACATACAAAGCCACTTTGAAAAAAATAAAGACACGTTTAGACAACCTTATGCAATATTTAGCACAGTGATTTTTTTTTTTTAAGAAATCAAATGCATTTTGTAATCTAATTATTAAAAGTTTGGCTATTATTTTCTGTTTCCTGTCCTTTTTTTTTTTTTTTGCTGGCTCCTATGTGTGAGAATATGTGCTATAAAAACATTATAAATAGTTTTGAATTGGTTCTGCAGCTCACCCTTCTTGTGTTTTAGGGGCAATTAGCACAGAATAATGGATGGGGGAACACTCATGAGGGTGCTTGCTTATATCCTCCTCTTCCAAGGGTCTCCAAAACTCTTACAACCTCATATTTTTTCCCCAAAAGGTGATTTGGCATTTGAAAATCCCTTCGGCTTGAGACTGGTTCAGAGCAGGTTGAAACCCTGCATGTATTTTAAAGGAATGGGGCATAGGAATGGAGAGTGAAGGTGGGCTGTAGGTGGAACTACAGCTTTGTTCTGCCTCAAGGTATCCCAGGTCTGGACTATGTATGAAGGAATTCCTCATGCACTGTTCCTCTGGGATCATTTTCTTAGTGACAGCCAGGTTACTCCCCAACCAGTGTGAACTGTGCGTGTGAAAACTGTTACCAAGCCCGAACGTAAGGAAATCCACCTCTGGGTGGATGCAACAGCATTTATGGGTTAGTCAGAGAAATAGCAACTGGTGTAGGAAATGGAAACAGGCTGCTGGAAATGGAAATAGGCTGCTGCGTAGTCATTACTCTTTGTCATTATTCTTTGTTAACTCTTTGCGTGCAGGAGCAAATGTGAACAGCGGGAAAGGCCTGGACTCCCCTCTGCATGCAGCCGCCAGGAATTGCAGTGCAGAGCTGGTGATGCTGCTGATTGACTTTGGAGCGGACATTGGGGTGAAGAAGGCCGAGAGAAAGAGGCCAATGGAGCTAGTCCCACCCGGCAGCCCTGTGAGCCAGCTGTTTCTGCAGAAAGAAGGTGCTCCTTAGCACTTGTTTTATTGGTCCACTCGGGATTCGTTAGGGAAAAAACATACAAAATACTGCAAAAGGCTATGCTACTCCATGCTACGAGCTCTACAACACTGAGGATAACCAAGCTTTTATCTCCATGCGCTGATGCATGGACACTATGTCCTCTGGCATCAGAATATAGTGGTGCACTAACAGTGATAGTGGTAACAATAACCTGTCTTTCAACCTCCGGGTTGTGAATCCATGTCACTGGGGACCAATTGTATGGAGCTTGCGGTATAATGCAAAATAGATTTTTGGGTGAACAAAGAAGAAAAAACGCTCTTTATGAATTAATGGTACTAAAACACTAAACTCAATGGGAGTGTCTCAGTTCCCTGTGTCTGAGATGGGAGTAGTCCCAGGAGTGTTATCTGGAGCGTGCGGACAAGCACAGGCAGAAAATCACCTCTGATGGGAGTTGAGGCTAGCTGGTGAGCATTAGGACTTGGATCTTTGGGTTTACAGTATGCTGGCAGTCGGGTGCATGCCAGATACTGGTCTAGGCATAAATGAAATATGGCAACCAGTAAAATTTTAATGTGTGTGATAGTGGGAAAAAAAGTATACTGAAGCACTGATCTTCTAGTTCTTTGCCCTTTACTTTTGTTTCTTAAGATCTTATGTTGGTGCAAAAGTATCTTTAAAATTAAAGACTCTGTATTAGGTTTTTTGTGATGATTAAGGAAAATTGCACAAGAATGATATAATGAATATATATGTATATAAATTTATAAACTAGGGGGGGGTTTAAAGGCCAAAATTTTGTGCTGCATAATCCAGCAGTGTCAAACCGTAGGCTTAACCTTTAGAAATTGCTTATTTTGTACATGTAAATGAAATAGTTCCAGGTCCAACTTATTTTATTGACTATGAATACTGTAATGAAATATGGAGAGAAATCTTACCAACCTTCAGGAAAATTTGAATAAGGTCACTTGTGACTAATTGTTGACGTACTTGTGTTCTTCTTTAGATGTTCTCATTCAGTCAGTAAACTATGCACATTACTAAATAATCTGGATTTTCATTATTTTAAACAAGTGACTAATGGCGTCGTCCGTGGCTCTATTATTCCAGTTACATGTTGACGTGACTGTTGACATGAACAGATTTATACCAAGGTAAAACTGGAATAATAAAGTGATGAATCAGGCCCTGCTTGAAATAATAACACAAAAATAACAGCATTAAAACAACTGGCCTGTGTATCTTATGCATGAGCAGTGGATATTTGGTTTCCCAGCCTGATCTGTGGTGCACAGAGCAGTCATCTTGTTGAACTCAAACCCCTGCTGCGTTGGGCTCCTGACTGCCGCGGCACTGCCTGTGCCTTGCTTATTTGAGATAGAAAAGCAATGTCAGGCACACCCTGCGGAGCCGGCTGGAGAAGCGCTGCTGGGGCTGAGCTGACAGCTCAGGCTGTAACGAACTTTTCTAAGTGAAATTCAGCAATCCACATCAGAAACTATAAATGCCTGAAGGGCATTTTGCTGCAGAATGATGTTTGTCCCATGTTCTCCAACACGCCCTTCCCCAAGTAAGGTCATGCCTGATGGGTGGCTGATGTCTAACTTTGTTGTCCGGATGAACGGCTTCAACCCGGGAGGACGGTGCAAATATTACCCCTCTGGTGTCATGCAGAGGTTTCACGATAAGCTGCAGGGATCAGTCACACCACCAGCCCCACAGACCCTCAGCACCAGCGTGTCTGAGCTACTGCTCTCCTGTCCCACTCCCATGCATGGCTTCTCCCCTCCCCCCCACTGCAGATGCTAGGGTGCAGCAGCCCTATACCCATGGCCAGAGCAGGCTGGAGGGAAGGTGTTTTTCCACCAGGGATGAGCTGGTGAGAGTTCCTGAGCTGCCCTAGGACTAGCCCAGAGCACGTCTACGACCAGTGGTGGTCTTCCCTCCCAGGGCTTCACCATGCTGCTGGACCACCGCCTACCCTGATTGCATTGCAGGGAGAGTCCAGTATGTGGGCGGGAGAATTAGCTAATGATCCAAAAATGCACTGTGTTTTTGGAAGTATGCTTGCCCTTGCTAAATATTTTCAGTCTAGTGACACTGCTTGTGTTTTGATAAGTCTTCTGTTTTTCTCTTTTGAATGGAAGCCTGTTTAAATGAGATGTTTGCAGACAGAGCATTTATCTGCAGGATCAGAGTGGCCAAACACATGCAGTGTGACACTGCAATAGCCAGTCTTGCTTGCCCTGTATTGGCTTGCCATGTTGTCTTGTACCCAAGCACAGGGTAACTCATCTGCTGACTCCTGGCAGGAGGGCACAGCCCTTCCAAAAGTTCAGCGGTCTTCAGCCTTGCAGAGCTGCTGGAAAAGTGGTGTCTTGCAAGAGGGAAGGCTCAAAAGATGATTAAGACTGCCACCTCACTGCACTTTTACCCCCGTTTCCTTCCCGCTGCACTTCACTCCTCTAGCAGCCAGAACGTGTGAGCCTCCTGGGTCAGCTATCTTACCCATCCAGCAGGCAGGCATGGGCGGTAGCCTCCCAGATCACTTACGTCCCTCTTGCTTTCTACAGTGCCTCTTTTTATCTCCCCACTGCCAGCATCCAACCCCCACGTCTGCACTGGCTACTTCCCCTCTCCCCTCCCCTTCTTACCTGCTCACCCACAGACACCCCCATGACCCTCCGTGGTCGTCACCCCTGCATGCTGTCCACCGGGGCACAGATTTGTTGGGCATGTCAGGGGGCTGGACATTGACAGGCACTGAAGTTAAAAGCATTGCACAGGATCTACGTCTTTGTGAAAAGGATAAGGTCCCCCAAGTAAGCGTAGAATGCTAGATGTGTAACCTCTTCCCCATCTCTTTCTCCAGGGCCACTGTCCTTGATGCAGTTGTGCCGCCTGTGCATCAGGAGGTGCTTTGGACACAAGCAGCATCAAAAAATAACGGGACTTCTCCTCCCAGAAGAGCTGAAACATTTTCTTCTCCACGTTTAAGCCTTTCGTGTTCAAAATGGTGCCTTTAATAACGCAGCAAGGTTAGTTGAGGACTCTATATCTGCAGTGTTGCCAAAGCCTGCAAGGTTAATTTATGACAGTTGCTGGTCCCTAGTAAAGCCCCGGGTCCAAGAAGCACAGGACTGACCAACTCCCTCAGTCCCCACTGCCACCACCCCCAGAAAATCCATCATTTGGAAAGGAACAATTCTGCATGGTAGCATGGTGAAGCTTGAAAAGGTGACTTAAAAGCCCCTTAGAAAGTGTAAAAAATGAGCATAGTGGTTTTAAATAGATCTCTTGATTCTTTGTATCCTGACACACTTTCAGAGGGCTCGTAATTGACATACCCTTACAAAGAAAACACATATCCCAGCCCAGCACTAAGAGCTCTTCACATATATATTAAGGATACTAAGGGTAGCTACACCTTCTCTGTAAGCAGCACTCATGTGCCTGTCATCTGTGAGGGCTACTGTATGGATAAGGAAAAGGAACCTGGCTGAACCTAGCTACAAAACAAGAGAGGCCCTCTGGCAGATGTTATTTTCTAAGTATATCACACCGTGGATAGATAAGCACCAACCAACAATCATCTGCATTTAGGCCAGCATCTGAAACACGGGTTTCTGCCGTGACATCAAGTAGGTCACTGCTGATGGCAGCTCCCTACGGTGCAATAATAGTAAGGGGAAAGTTTTTAATCGTCCATTAAAATCACTTCTTCCTGATGCTTTGAGACATAAGGGAGCCACACTTCAGAACTACACGTTTTCTCCTTGTAGCATATTATTTTTCAAGGACACAGGCTAACAGGCTATCAGTTGCAGGCATTGAATGGTCCCCTTTTCTGCCCTGAAAATTAAGTGGCATTTCCTAAGCATTTCTCAGCATTCATCAGAAAAACATCAGCTTCTACCCCCTTTCCCCACTCAAGAAAAGAGGTCATCTTAAGAGTAAGATGGTTTGGTTTTCTTTTTTATTTTTCCTTGGAGAGATGCTACCTCATTCATAGCTTTTTCCATGGGAGCGGTAATAATAACACTTCTAATGTGTGGTCACAAAGGAAACAATGAAAATACTGAAATTAAAGTCCATTCCAAATTAAAAAGATAATGGATAATTTCTGTCTCCCGCTTGGTTGCTGAGCTGCTGCCTCAGTGTACGTGTCTCTCAAAGAAACATAACACATGTGGTTTTTATTCCACCGAGGTCATAAGAACAAATATGTCCTCCAGCTAAACTTTAACACTGGGTGTTTTTCTTTCCCTCCCAGAAACACATCCTGCTGCCACAAGCCAAACTGTGCTCTCCGAGGCCCTTCCCCAGGAATGTCAGCTGCCTGATACAGGCAGGAGCAAGCACACTGAAGCTCTGGCTCATCTGCCCACCACCCTCTGCCCCCCTGCAGCTCTGAACTGTGGCCCCTGAGGGGCTACTGCCATGTCCGCCCTGCATTGGAGGGGTAAGCCACAACAGGTGATTCTGGAGATCCTTTTCTTCTTTGCTTTGCTGTGAAGACTCCCGCAAGAGTGGACTTGGTGTGCTAAAACCATCATCACATCGCTGGTACCAGCAATGAGACATACCGTGTCCTCCTCTCCTAAGAGGAGAGACCAGCAACCTTCAAATACACAAACTTGCTTTGATCTTTATGAGTGTGCTGGTGTGCACGGTGCAATCCTCCTGTCACATGGGGTTAGTTAAAGAGGATGGATCAGATGCTACCCAGATGCTCATAAATTGCATCCCAAGTCCTTGGCTGGACAACATGACTACTGGCTGTAGGTATCCGGTATGATGCTTTGATGCTTTTGTGCTCATCAAACACAGCAAGAGAAGCTCTGTTGGTTTTGTGGGACACTAAATTGTACCCTAACGGGACAAAATGACAAAAACAGTTAGGTCTGTAACTGCTCTTGTGATAGAGACACCTAGAAATCTTTGCTGATCCCACCCAATTCATCACACATAATTTGAGCCATGTAAAAATTCACTGGATGGTTTTAGATGGCCTTCTATATACCCTGACTCCTGCTGGGGAAGAAAAATAGACACCTGTCTTCATAGGCTGAAAAAAAGCTGATGTCTGGGGTGGGAGCAGTGGAGCCTTCTAAAATCAGTATCTTGATTAAGCTGAATCTGCATTCAACAGGCAGGGAACAGACAGCTACACCAGTGCTTAACTTTCGAAGACTAAGTGTGAAGAATCCCAGCTTTGGTGACACATCTGAAAGCTGAAGATCAAGCTTATTATACTTCAGATGATGAACTTCATTTTTTTTTTTTAAATATGTGCTAGCTTTATCATTTACCTTTAAGCATCTTATTTTGTAACTTCAGTCAGTGGGTTTATAAGAGTAATGCTCGTACCAGGAGAAAATTGAACTGAGAAGGTGGTCACAGTGTTGCTTCTAGATTGCTTTTCCTCTGGAGTTTGATAGTGTGACTCTGTTTACTTGAATCCCTCTGATCAAGTGTAATTAGGATGAATTCTGTGCTCTCAGCTTCTATCATCTCAGTATGTTTGCTTATTTATTTTAATATAAATTGTGTTCAACACTGGCAAACTACAGCTCTATGCATCAACACTTATCCAGTTATAAACTGTAAAAGTTGTACAAGATGCAAACTGAATAAGCTCATTATAGGTGAGGTTGGGACCTTTTTCTGTATTTGAAACCATTCCAAAAGTAATGCAGGCAGGACTTGAAAGATTGTCAGGAATATATTTGAGCAGATTCTTTGCTTTTATTTTGTTAACATTTAATGGTAGTCAAGCCATAATTGTATAGGATAATTGCTCAAAATTAAATGGTTTATACTCTTTTTTTTCCCATTTATTTTTGAAACCATAGCACTAATTTTGTGGATTGTCTGATACCGTGGAGTTTTGGACTGAACTTTAACTCTTTGCAATCCTGACCACAAGCAGGTAGTGTACAGAATAATTCCTTCAAACAGACCTATGGTGAAGATAAGACTAAGAGACAAATACCGTGCAAATCTTGCCTTTTACTGATGTTTTAAGGTAGAGTTGGACTCCTGCAATTCTTTTTCTACTCACTTGAGGGTCAGTGAAAGGAGTTGGAGATTTCAAAAAGTAGGAAAAGATGTAAATGAAGATGGTCATCGGCTTTAGTTGGCTTTTTACTGGTTTGCATCAGTTTGTTTCTCCTCTCTCCTCAGCAAGAGGCCCATGTAATGGTCTGGGTGCACTTGTGAGTGCCTACACAACAGGAACTCCTTACTGGAAGTGAGCATGTGGAGATTCCTCTACAGTCAGAAGTCCAAAGGATGTCCACTAGCATCCAGCGTGTACACTGCAGGGCTGGAGAGACATGGGAGGGCAGTAATTCCCCCTCTGTTAGATGCACCCCCGTGCATCTCTGCCCACAGAGACCAGCTGAAAGAGGGGGGGCAGTGCCAGCAAATTGCTGTACAAGGTGTTGTTTCTGCTGGATACAGAGCTGCTTATGAAAACTCTGGAACTAAATAGCAAACAACTCAACAAAAGAAGACAACTGATTTAAGCAAGAAAATTCTCTTTTGATTTAATGAAAGAGGTCTGACGCAACAAATCCTTGCAAAGTTGTTCTGGCTTTGCAGCAGTTGCTAGGTGGGATCAGCCATGTCCCAGGACTTGATTCTGCATTCTGCAGTCACACCCCAAGGTCCACAGCTGCCCTGCCCATTTGCCGCTGTTTCTTTCTTTTTTTTTTTTTCCTCTTAACTGGAAACCACAGTCATCCTAGTCTAGTAAGTATAATATACAGCTTTGGAGCATACGCAGAGAATGTCCTTTTTGCCTCTCCACTAAATTGAATTAATTTTAAGATGACTAAGAAGGAAACATATTTTACTTTACCGGTTTAGCAAAATGGGACAGACCAGCTACCAGCTGCAAAATAGCAGATTAGTGGTGCTACAAGAGAGAAAAGAGAATGACTGTATTCCTAAACATGGGTTATACTGTTTCCCTCAGAATCAGGTTTTTAAGATCCACAGGTCCAGGACTTGATGTTCATGAACCAACTTTTTCTTGCTTAACCTGTGCACCGTATCTGCCACAATGGAGACTGCCTTGCCCTGCAGTTTCAGTCTTGAACCCTGCTGGATTTGGATAAAAATTCCTGTGAGTTATTTCCCTGCACATTGAGCTATTATTTATCATTCCTTGATGCATTGGTCAGCTCATTGCTCTGAGGGATAATCAATTTCATGCACACAGGCAGTATTTGATGCAAAAGTGCTCTCTAGGATGGCTCAGGGAGTCTACTTTTCTTTAAAATGACAGCAGTGAACTATTTCTAGGAAGAGAAAACTTCCAAATTCTTATATCCCCATTCAACATGGTAACTCTTATTCCAGCTCTACCTGAGTGCTTGGGTAGCACACCTGGAGAATACCTGGGTCATGTCACTGTGCAACACGATCTTGTTCCTTTCCTGTGTCAGGTGAAGCCTTTACTTTCTGAACTACTGCCCTTTGCATTTCTAAAGGTCCTGAAACCCATTAATCATCACCAATTCAAGAGATACAGGACTAGATTCATGGCTTTAGCACCTGTGAAATAAAATTGAGTTTGTAGTCTGTCAGCTGTCTCACTTCACAGTTTAAACGGTGGAGTCGCTCCCGAGTCTGGGGCTTTTGAAATCCATAGAACTTTCCTTTCTGTGGTCTGAAAAATACAGCAGTAGCAGTTAAATCAGCTCTTTGTCTCGTGAAAACTCCCTGAGTCCTGAAGGTTCATACAGACCCTGGAAAGATGTTATGAACAGGACAAGTACAAAGTTGTCTCATTGTCATTGAAACCTTTTATTAACTTATTTTGGGGAATGATAGTTGTGTTGGTTCTGTCTGTCGAAATAATTGTCCCAAAACAGGAACTGTTGGTGTTGCGAAATTCTGCACGGTGCGAAGCTCCCAGCTAGACTTTTGCTCTCCCCAGTGCTCACCGAAGGTGTGTCGCCTGGGTACATGACTCCCCTTTTGTGCCCTTCTGATGAGTGTGAGGTCTGAGGTTGAAAAACTTTTTATCCAACTGTT